TTTTTAACTAACAAAAAGCAATAAAGTTACTTCTTGCCAAAGTACAACCCATGACAAAATCTTTTGGTAACCAACAATTTTACTGAAAATCATTTAAAGTGAAAAGTGTGTAAGTAGCAGAAACAAATTTCCTCCTACGTTCTATAACAACTTTGCAAAATGAAAATAATCATTTCAAATGACACCATTACAACTGCATACATCCCCAAATCATTAAAAACAAATATGCCATACAACCATACACTTTATTTAGTACATGAGAGCACATATTAAACATGTATATTTACATATAAATATGTAAATATACATGAGCATCAACTAAATGTGAAAAAGGTGATAACACAAAATCCTGAAGGAAAACGTTTTCCTACTTGACATAAACACCATCAAGAACATTTTGCAAGGACAATGCAACATGGAAATATGCCACAGCAATTCTATTGCTATGTTTAAAACCCATGTGAGTACAGAGCTGCTACATGCAAGGCAGAGCAGAGAATCACAGAAAAGCAGAATCAGGGCCTTCATCAAATACTAGGTGACAGTGAGCCCAGCTTGTGGACCTTTTCATTACACACACCAACAAATTCACTGTCCATCCTTAGATTACATTCTTTCCAATATATTATACAGAAGATTAATCTTCTTTCACATTTACTTCAACAAAAGTCTATATTCACTTATCTAGTAACATTATTTTAGGAAAGCATTAAACTTTTCTACTACCTTTTCTTGCTGATCATTTTCTCCTACTATCTGGTGAAAATATGAAATAGTCTACTCATTTCATATCAGAAGATAGGACCAAACTAGACTCTGCAAACTTCATTTCTGAAGCTTGATGTTCAAGATTTATGAAAAATTATATCTTATACCCCGGTCTACAAAAATGCTTGATAATCATGAAAGTATACAATATAAACATTTAAAGAAATAGACTAACACTCTTAGAAAACAAAGGAGATATTTCTAAATTCCACATTATTAACATGGAACATTAATGTAAACAATTTATCTATTGAAGGAATAAACATGTAAGTAGACTTTAGAAGAATCTAATGCTATGTTACTGTCAAGGATATGGATGAAATGTGAACTTTGGCCAAAAGTTGGGAACAAAAAGGTTTTTAGTCTCTAAAATCAATATAGCCTGCACACCTCTTAAGGGAATCACCATTAGACAAATCACATTTATCTCTAATCACAATAGAAAGAAAACCACAGAGCATACTAGTCTAAAACTCCTATACCTCCTCTATCTCACTAATCATATGGCAAATAGTAAAAACCACCTGACATAATGAAATCTTTGGTTAAATCCAGCTATCTGCTAATTTCATTCCTACACTAAGAAGCTAAATGTGGCTTTGAGAAAACACACAACCACAATGCCTGGCTTCACTTTCAATGCATGTCTACGCATCTCAGCTGGCTCCTCAGTCCAGCCTAGCTGTCCTGCCATACCCTCAAGTTAACTCACTTTCCTCATCTAATTGGCAATTGCACACTTTCTCCTCCCTTTTGAAACATCAATACCACCTACCTCATTATCACTCTCAGTTGTTGATCTTGCTTCCAACCTCACTAAGAAAATAAAAACCATTTAAAAAGACCAAGTATACCCCTTCTGCCCAGCTACGCATCTCACACACTCTGCCTTCACTTCTGTTATTATAAATAAACAGCCCAAGGTTCACTGACAGTCATACAACTCAATACTATTCTTTCTCATTTGATCAAATATATTACTCCAGCATACACACTCTCTCTTACATCAACAGTTTCCTCTCTAGTGTAGTATTCTCATCATGGTACATACATGCTGCTATTTCTACATTAAAAAAATTTCTACCCCACATCCCCTCTAAATACAACCTCATTTCCCTTTTCCCTTTCATCACAGAGAACCTCAAAACAGTTGACTCTACTTCTATCTCTAATTCTGCTCTTCCCACTTTTTTCTCGAGCCCACTCCAAATAAGCTTTTATTTCAATGCTCCACCAAAACCACTCTGGTCAGGCTGCCAGTTACTCCATATAGCATAATTCAGTGGCTAATCTTCAGAATTTACCTTACACAACTTATATCAGCATTATTTTACACAGTGAACCAGACCCTCCTCCTCAAACACTTTTTCACATGGCTTCCAGGACACCTGGCTTCCCTGACACAATGCTCCCCTGTTTTTCCTGCTCTCATTACTGCTGCTTTCTCTGTTGTCTTTGTTGGTTATTCCTCATTCCCTTGACCTCTTAATGTTGGAGTGATCCAGGGCTCAGTCCTTGAACCTCTTCTCTTTTATATCTATGCTCTCTCCCCAAAAAATCTCATCCAATTTTGGCTTTAAGTACATTTATCCACTGATGATTCCCTAATTTATATCTCTAGTTTAGACCACTTCCTAAACTACTAATTCTAATATCTCTAATTCTTCATTAGTATTTCCACTTGGATATATAATAGACATCTTAGTACATCAAAAAACCAAACTCTTGATCTTTACTTATATGGCTGACATTACAAGTATTCACTAAGGTCAGTTCCCTTCTCCTTCAGCACACATAAATGACAACACATGGTAAGGCCTTATGACTTATTCTGACCAATTTAATGTGAGCAAAGTGCCATGTATCACTGTCAACCTGGGCAGTGAAAAACCTATTTGTGGTTCTGCAATCTTTCTCTCTGCTGTGGCAAGTGAAAATGTTGTGTGTTCCATCCAGCGGGTAGACCTACAAGATAGTAGAGCCTCCAATCAATCTGGCATCTTTGGGGATGGCAAAAGACCTTCCCATTGACCCACATGGGACATGTACCATGAACAAGAAATAAATGTATATTTTTAACCACTGAGATTTTGAAGTTCTTAGTTATCCCAGAATAGCCTAGCCTCTGTAGGCTAATACTCCCCAAACCTGTTCTCACATAGCAACAGCAACCTCATCCTTTCAGTTGCTCGACCAAAAACCTTAAAATCATTCTTGATCCCTCTTTTTCTCTCACACCCCACATCTAATTCATCAGCATATCCTGTACCAAATACACCCAGAATCCAATCACCTTTACTGTCTCCACTACCCATTCTGTTCTTCAAAAGACACTGGTGAAAAATAATAAGACAAGTCACAGACTAGGAAAAAAATATTGACAAAGCAAATATCTGATGAAAGAGACATACCCAGAATATACAGAACTCTTAATGCTCATCAATAAGTAAACAAACCACCCAATTTTTAAAAAAATGAGCAAAAGAGTTAATAGACGTTTCACTAAAGAAGACATATGAATAGCAAATCAACACATGAAGAGATACTCAGTATCACTGGGAATACAAATTAAATTAGAACCACAATGAGATATCATTACACCATATTAGAATGGCAAAAATTAAAAAGACTGAAAATACAGTACCAAATGTTGACTAGGATGTAGAACACTGGAACTCTCATTCGCTACTGGTTGGAATGTAAAACTGTATGACCACTTTAAAAAATAGTTTGGTGATTTATTTAAAAATTAAACATACATATGTAGTAAAAGAAGAGTGCTTGTATATTGAGAGAAATAGTCTACATCAGAAGCTATTTATAGGAGGCTTATAACTATTTATAGATGATTCTTCCTTGATTAAAAGGTACTAAAACTTACACCTACCAGATGATATACCCATTCCACTCCTAGATATTTCCAAGGAAATGGGGGTATGTTATATATAAACTTAAGATTTCTACAGGAATGCTCATAGCCAAAAATTAGAAACTGCCCAAATTTCCATCAACAGGTGAATGGATAAACAATTTGTAGCATATCTGTATAAAATACTACTCCTCAGCAAAAAAGGTACTGAATTATTAATGAACACAACATAGATGAATTACAAAATATGTATGCTTAGTAAAAGAAGCTAGAAAAGATTTTTTTAAAAAAAGAGCACAAACTGTATAATTCCATCGCATAAAACTCTAAAAAACACAAACTAATCTACAGTGACAGACAGCAGATCAGTGGTTGCCTGGGGAAGGGGGTGTTGAGAAGGGCAGAAGGAAGGAATGTCAATGGGACTCAGGAAACTCTTTGAGTGTGTATATATGGATATGGATATGTTCACTACCTTGATTGTGTGGGTGGTTTCACAAGCATACACATATGTCAAAGTATTAAACTGTTTATGTTTATACAGTTTGTTATATGTCAATGATACTTCCATAAACCTGTTTTCAATATAGCAGGTACTCAATATTTTTGGAAAACAGAAAGTGGATGAAAATGAAAATCGATGTTGAAAGCAGAATCCTAAGAATGAACTGAAGTGGAAACCCATTATCTTCCCTCCTTCAATAGCATTTTTTTTCTGAATGAGAGAATATAAGTAGAAAAGGAGAAATAAGCTATCACAAATGAATGTCCCTCAGTATAAAGTCATAGGGCCTTTCAACCAGGGAAGAACCCCCTATAAGTAGCTTCTGCATTGGACAATTGCTACCCCAATATACAAATACAATTATTGTGCCATAGTCCCCTAGCAGTTGAATAATCTCTTTGAATTCATCTAATAAACCTAGCCTAATTTCTTCTTTTTATATCATCTTCACTTGTCATTAAACATATTGAACTTTTCCCCATCAATTTAGTTTGTTAACAATTTTTTTGGAAATAAGGAATAGCCATATTGGATGTCCTCAGGCTGTGAATCTTGGATGAAAAATGCCTTTCCCAGGTCTTCTCTGTCCTTTGTCTCCCAATTTCCACTGAGGTAGAAGAAAAATCACTATCTCTATTTCACTCATTTCCCTTGCTCTTCTCTTTGAAATCCTAAATTCCATCCATCATGATCAATTTTAGCATCATGCTAGTATGTGAGTACACCTCCTTCTTTCACAAGCTGTTATGGCTAGGAGTTTTCTGCAACATCAACCCTTCATGTTCAAAACTATGGTACAATTTTGAAATAAAAGCACAGCATGCACTTATGTTTAAATAAGGTAGCCCCATGACTCACCTCATTTCCACCAACTGCCTTGGTTAAAATCACTGCAGAAGACACAGGCGGAGGCATGCAACCTACTGTTTGCAAACTGAAAAATAAAAGAAAATCCAACTATAAATAATTTTTTAAATCATAGACAGCTGTCACCACATTCATTCTAAAATAGCAAGGCTGAGCAAATGAAAATAAGGGCATATTTATTGATGCACATGCCCTGTTGAATTTAGACAAGTCTGCACAAGGCAATATGGCTTACAAGGTGCTGCAAATGTATGGGTTCTAATCTCTTATGCTATTCCATAGGCTTGAGTGAGTCTATTTTAAGCTATTTAAGCTCTTATTATACAATTCAAAAAGCAGTCAAGGTATAGTGAGTTCAGTCATTGAAAGATAACCAAAATGGCTAATCATTTGGTAAGTGTATGTAGTCTTAGGTTATTTTTAGGTAAAGTGAAAAATATTTTCCCCACATTTTGTTTGTAGGAAGTCTCTAAATCTTCAAAACCACTTCCAAAGTTCAAAATACTTGACAAGACACAAGCTTGTATCTTTGGATTTCTTTCTACAGAAGAGTAGTTTTCAAACCTTCATCTCATAAAAGACATTTTAATGTTGTAATAACATTACAGAAACAGGCATGACACAATCATACACTTTTGCATTCAGACTCTGTAGTAAATTCTAGTATCTATTCTCAATTTGGTTTTTATTAAATTAAGTGCACACACCCAAGATCATGACAGGTCTATTTTCTTAGTTTAGGACAGAAAATAAACTGCATAACAAGCAAATGAAACTATGAGTAATAAACTTAAGTACTATAAATTTTTTTAATTACTCAAAATCCACATAGAATATATCTTCTGGGGAGAACAGGTATCTGGCCTAAGTGGAAAGTTCATACAGGGCATAGAGGACACAGAGTATCTGACTTAGATTTTGAATGGGTATGATTAAAGGTTACAGTTGACCATTTAACAACATGGATTTGAACTGTGAGGGCCCCACTTATACAAGAATTTCTTCTGCCTCTGCTACGCCTGAGACAGCAAGACTTCTTCCTCTTCTTCAGCCTACTCAATGTGAAGATGACAAAAATGAAGGCCTATATAATGATCCATTTCTACTTAATGAATAGTAAATATATTTTTTCTTCCTTATAATTTTCTTAATATGTTTCTTTTCTGTAGCTTAATTGTAAGAATATGTAATACGTGTAATATATAAAGTATATGTTAATTGACTCTTTATATTATAGGTAAGGCTTCCAGTCAATGGTTAGGCTACCAGTAGTTAAGTTTTTGGGGAGTCAAAAGTTATATGTGGATTTTCAACTGCATGGGGGTTGGCACCTCTAAGCTTCACAGTGTTCAAGGGTCAACTATATTTTTATTCATTTTTGGAAGAATATATTATCTAAAATTTATGCAATAGATTTACATTAGGTCCGAAATCTGAAAAATAATGTTTAAACTCATTTTGATTGAAGCATAAGAAAACTGGAATTTCCAACTCAGTTCCATTCAATATGGTCTTCTTTCCAGGTCTGTTTTACCAAGAGCTACTAGAGTGGTCTGCCCTATTATGAATTCCCAATTTCTGAGTCTTCCTTAGAGTCTGCTATCATCGTCACTAATACTGAGCATTTACCATTTGTAGTAGACACTATTCTAAACACTTTACATACTATCTCATTTATTCCTCAAAAGTTATATTTAAGATAAGTTGTTATTATTATTCCCATTTTACAGAAAACTGAAGTGAAGAAAGAAGTTAAGTAACTTTCCAAACTCACAAAGCCACCTATCTGGGGTAAAACTTTTATGGGTCACAGACTTATCTAGGCCTCCCACCTCAGCCTCTCTGCCTTCTGTCTCCCCTACCCCCAATACTAGGACAGATCCTCTCATGCATTTTCAATCTTTCTAACTTTTTCATCCCTCCTCTTCCAGCCCCTTCCCTTCTATATGCAAAAAAGCAGAATTCTCATAGCTTTAAAAAGACAAAAATTTTGCTTGAAACCAGGAGGCGGAGGTTGCAGTGAGCCAAGATCACGCCACTGCACTCCAGCTGGGCAGCAGAGCAAGATGCCATCTCAAAAATAAATAAATAAAAGACAAAATTTGCCAACTATATACTGAATACATATATCTTCTATGGGTAAAATCCTACAAGAAAGAATTTTTAAAAAGAAATAAAAACATTATTCCTGCGTTCAAGGAGGCAGAAGAGTCAATGCACAAATGTAGATAACTAATAGCAAAATGAGTGAAATGAGTGGTGCTGCCTCCTCAAGATACAATCCCACTTTTCTCATTGTGACTCACTTTTGACCTTTAAAGACTGCCTGCCTCCATGGCCCCACAGACCATTCTCTCTTTACTTCTCCGAAAGATTTCTTCCCCCTCTAATAGTAATAATAACCTTAAAGTAACCAGTAATCTCCAAATCACCAAATCTGGTATCTTTTTCCTCATATTCATTCTGCTTACCTCCTTCTCAGGGCACTCTAATATTTTCATGGTTACTGTTGTAGTTCATTCAAATTTAGTTTCTGTCTTTTAAACCAGTCATTCTGGTGGTTTTTTTTTTTTTTTAGCCCTAACTACAATTCCCAAATTTGTAGCTGCCTATGACTGCCACTTTAAACTAAGCACATCTAATGTTGTATTTATATATTTGTTTCCCAAATTTATTGAGGTATAATTGACAAGCAAATATTATAAAAATTTATGGCATACAACATGATGTTTTGACATAGGTATACACTGCGAAATTATTACCACAATCAAACTAATTAACATATACATCTACTCTCTTGGTAATTTTCTAGTATACGTTATTAACTACAGTCACCATGCTGTACAACAGATCTCCAGAATGAATTCATATATTTTCTAAAAAATAAACTTCCCCTCTGAATCTACATATATTTTTGGTCAATGGGACCAGTTTTTTCCCTAATGATCCATTTTGAAACTTTGAAGTTATATGTGACTCCACTTGCTCCTCAAAAATCAATCTGTGGCTGGGCGCGGTGGCTCACACCTTTAATCCCAGCACTTTGGGAGGCCGAGGCGGGCAGATCATGAGATGAAGAGATTGAAACCATCCTGGCCAACAGGGTGAAACCCCATCTCTACTAAAAATACAAAAATTAGCTGGGCACGGTGGCGGGCACCTGTAATCCCAGCTACTCAGGAGGCTGAGGCAGGAGAATCACTGGAATCCAGGAGGCAGAGGTTGCAGTGAGCCAAGATCACGCCACTGCACTCCAGCCTGGCAACAGAATGAGACTCTGTCTCAAAAAAAAAAAAAAAAAAAAAAATCAATCTGTCACAACTAACTTTCCAGTTTCCTCCATGACTACTGCCACCATCATCCCTGTCCAGATGCTTCTCAGCCAATCTGGACACTTACAAAGGCCTGTTCAATGTTGCCTCTACCTTACTCTGTCCCTTTACTATGCAAGGTAAGGAGTATGTGCTCAGAATATCTTTATTTCAACAACTTAAACATGATTCTGCAACCCCTTCAAGTTAATATACTAAGTATGTACTTTCAAATTAGGGAGGGGAAGGGAAAAAACACTAAGCCAGGAAGAGCTTTCTCTAAGTGAATTACGGTAAGTGTATATTCCTTTAAGTTCAACATCTTGAAGTCAGAATTGTTTGTTTTATTTAGCATATTGAGTTGCAAGCTGTCCAATTAATCTTCCTTCGTAGCCACTTTTAAACAAGTTGTTATGTGCTTATTTAGCATTTTTAACAGCTCTCTCTCCATCATCTATAGCTTCAAATGCAAACTCCTCAGCCCAGTAATTCAGGCCTTCTGCAAGCCAACCCTATGGAAACATTTTATCTTTGTATCTCATTAATGCCTCATTTTTGAAATCCAAGAGTACCCAACCTTTGCTGAACTGCTTATTCTTTAACTGATTACACCACTCATCTGAAAAATCACATGGTGTCGCATTTTGGTGATTACTAGGAGGTGTGTGTGTGTGTGTGTGTGTGTGTGTGTGTGTGTGTATATCCTATATAACCAACTAGGTTGGAAGTTTCCAGAAGACAACAAAAATGAGTAAATATCTTTGTATTCCTTGAGTGGCCTACACATGGTAGATATTCAGTAGCTGTTGGTTATTGATATGCATAATACATTGTTGCTCTAAAATGATGTCATCATATTTATGTGGCATTTTACACTTTTTGGTGAAATTTGATGGTCATTCTCTCAAACTAAATCTGGCCACAATGGCACTCTTGATTTCCACCATGCCTCCTAACCTAGTTTTCCCCTCTTAAGTAAGTGATGCTACCAATTACCCAGTGGTTCCAACCTAAAACCTTGGTTCCTCTGTCCTCCTTCTATATCCTCCTTACCCATCACCAATGAAAGCTCTACTGTAAAATCTATCTGGCACACATTCATTTCTCTCTGTTGAACTGCTACCTCACCACTACTCTCTGAGTTGATTTCTCTCAGGCCCCTCTACTATCTCTTTTCCGCATAGCAATCAGAAGAATCATTTGCAAACATAAATCAGACCTCATCACTCCCTCATTCCAATCCCTCCAATAGCTTCCTATAGCACTCAGAATAAAATCCGAACACTGTCCCATGGCCTATAAGGCTCTATATAGCGCACTCCTGCCTACTTTTCTACTGTTAGGACATGGTATTTTTCCTCTACATCACCAGGCTCTGGCCTTCCTGGCTGCTTTACTGACTGGAAAACAACAGGCTTGATCCTGCCCTAGAGCATTTGTACATTCTGTTTCCTTTCCCTAGAACATTCTGCCCCCAGAACTCTGAAATCTAAATTAATCACCAGCCTGCCCACCCAACCACTTTCACATTATCCCACTGTTTTGTTCTTTTTACATCATTTATCTCTATCTTGCTCATCTACTTACTTGTTTATTGATACCACACCCCCTGAGACTCCCCAACATGCAAAACTAATGGGCATTTCACTGTTGTTTCTCCAATATTTATAATAACTCCTGAAACAAAGTAGAAGCTAAATAAATAACTTGAATCAATGAATAAGTAATTTCAATTGATATCCCCAACATCATTGGTAAATAAGCAGTAAAAGTATGATTATCCTCCTTTCTAGATAGGGAAATTGACATTAAAAACTATTTAAAAACTTTGCTCAAAGTCACATAGTATGTTAGGGATATGGTCAGAATTCAATCTTCAGGCTCTAAGTTCAACTATTATATCAAACATAAAACAATGAAAAGGTAACGTTTGTCCCATATATAGGTATTTTTTTCTTTCTTATACATTTCTAAAACACACCTTATACTCCACTATTTTCTAATTAATTGACATCCAATTGACTGGCATACAGATCTTACATCGGCTAGTCCTTCTCATTTCTTTTCCAAGACCACTCTTTAAAATTCTCAGAAAAGTGCTCATCCTAAAACCTCAGGATGAAGCATGAGGGTGTATCTTAAGATTCTGTTATTTGATGAACTTCCTTGATGAAATACTATTGTTTTAAAGGAAAACAAAGATGTGTTTTTACTTCCTTTTAAGATAGCACACAAGCCCTTTTGTATATAGTTGCCATAGAAACAATAATGTCTCTAGAGATGCCCCATTAAAACTGGACCCACTTTTAAAGATTTAAACATACCCTTTTAAAAGCCATTCGTTGATGGGTGTGATTGATAAAAGCTGAAGAAAAAGCCATATTGTTGCTGGGAAGAATGCAAGTGTAAAGATCTGAATAAAAAGATGCAGTTTTAGATGCACCAAAGCACTGGTCAGCTCCTGGAAAAATTAAGGAAACAAAATAAACAAAGGTAAGAAAACTATTCCTGAAAGGAGATCGCTACTAAAATAACATCACATGAGTTAGTTTTTAATTTCGAGTTTTTTCATAGCTAAAATTTTTATCTATAAGTAAATGCACATGAGACAATGCAAGAGAAAAAAGTTACTTACGAAGGCTATAAAGTATTTTTGTTTAAAATTTCTTTTTTTTTTTTTTTTTTTTTTTTTGAGACAGAGTTTTTGCTCGTTGCCCAGGCTAGATTGCAGTGGCAAGATCTTGGCTCACTGCAACCTCTACCTCCCGGGTTCAAGGAATTCTCCCGCCTCAGTCTCCTGAGTAGTTTGAACTACAGGTGCCCGCCACCACCAAGCCCCTCCCTAATTTTTGTATTTTTAGTAGGACGGAGTTTCACCATGTTGGGCAGGATGGTCTCAGTCTCCTGACCTCATGATTCGCCCCCCTTGGCCTCCCAAAGTGCTGGAATTACAGGCATGAGCCACCGTGCCCGGCCTAAAATTTTTTTTTTTTTTTTTTTTTTTGAGACGGAGTCTCGCTCTGTCTCCCGCGCTGGGGTGCAGTGGCCGGATCTCAGCTCACTGCAAGCTCCGCCTCCCAGGTTCACGCCATTCTCCTGCCTCAGCCTCCCGTGTAGCTGGGACTACAGGCGCCCGCCACCTCGCCCGGCTAGTTTTTGTATTTTTTTAAGTAGAGACGGGGTTTCACCGTGTTAGCCAGGATGGTCTCGATTAACTATTCTTTTCTAATTTCTTTACAATACACAATAAGCCCTAACAAATCAGATGTGTAAAATTCTGGACCAGGACTAAGCCAACTATACTTTATACTAGCATAGATTTGGGGATTGTTGAACAACATACATGTATGTTTACCTATATAAAATAATAAATATTTTCAAAAAAACCTTAATAACATCTATCACATTTCAACCAAATGCAGTAATTAACCTCTATGCGTTGCACCAAGGCTTTAAGTCCTTGATTTGGCAAGATGTTACTGAATCTACAAATTAATATTTTAAAAAACATTTCCCTCAATGATAGTCTCTAATTCCAAATGGCATTTTCTTCCAAAATCTACACTAGATTCTTTGTTAACATTAACAGAATACCAGCTTTATGCCATACTCTGAGCTTGTCACTTTACATGTTATCTCACTTAATCCTCACAAGAACCTAATTAAGTAAATACTATTATCTGATGTTTTTACCGATGTTTTACCGATGAAGAAATTTAAGTTGAGAGTTACTATATGGTGAATATCAGAATTAAATTTTCTCGCATGCTAGCAAACCCATGCCTGCTTCTCCCAATGCTACCCCAAGAGGAGAAAAAAATGCACATTAAACATAACAAACCAGGCACACGTTACGAGTTTGACACCTAAAAAAAGGATAATTAGTTAACCTCTGGGATTCAAATAGATATAAACTAACAATATTTGCATTTGAGTTTATATTGTGTTGAAATAAAAACAAAATGGAAAACTAAAATAAAATTGGAAAGTGCTAGAAAAACTATAGTCCTTTAAAACAAGCAAGTGATCATTAAAGCATATTCAACTATGCCAGACAGTCACTGGTTGTAAGTATAGAACTGCAGGCCGGGCGCGGTGGCTCAAGCCTGTAATCCCAGCACTTTGGGAGGCCGAGACGGGCGGATCACGAGGTCAGGCGATCGAGACCATCCTGGCTAACACGGTGAAACCCCGTCTCTACTAAAAAATACAAAAATCTAGCCGGGCGAGGTGGCGGGCGCCTGTAGTCCCAGCTACTCGGGAGGCTGAGGCAGGAGAATGGCGTGAACCCGGGAGGCGGAGCTTGCAGTGAGCCGAGATCCGGCCACTGCACTCCAGCCTGGGCAACGGAGCCAGACTCCGTCTCAAAAAAAAAAAAAAAAAAAAAGAACTGCAATGGCCCCTTTGTTCAGGTAAGATGTTCAAGAGATCCTCAGCCTCAGAGACATTAGCCAAAGTTTATCAGTTTAATCAACAGTACGTTAATGCAGACTAATTCGCTCATCACCACATTCTGAGATTAGTCTCATCACTTCCCACTGTCTATCTCCCTGTGTGGAGATCCACACAGCAGTTCCTTCCTGTTAGGTCACAAGACATCCCTAAATGACATCTAAAGAATTTCTGGCAATCTAATTTAGGACCACTAGAAAACACTCAGCCTACCAGAAGTCACATTAGGTCCTGGGATCAGACCTAAGAGAAAGCAAGCCATCCTTACAGTGAATCAGAATTCTTAGAGCTCCACTCCAGAGAAAACTTGAGCACCAGCAGTTTCAGAGTATTCATTCTCAACAGCCTTGAAGCCAAATCTCATTTAAATATACTCAGAGGCATTTGGTAAACACTAAACAAATATTAGTATTTTTATTTTTTAAAATACCATAATGAAATGATTAGCCAGAATACACTAAGGCATTTTTGCATATACTTTTTTTTTTCTTTTCTTTTTTTGAGACGGAGTTTCGCTCTTGTCATCCAGACTGGAGTGCAGTGGTGCAATCTCGGCTCACTGCAACCACTGCCTCCTGGGTTCAAGCGATTCTCCTGCCTCCACCTCCCAAGTAGCTGGGATTACAGGCACCCACCACCACACCCGGCTAATTTTTGTATTTTGAGTAGAGATAGGGTTTTGCCATGATACCCAGGCTTGTCTGGAACTCCTGACCTCAGGTGATCCACCCGCCTCAGCCTCCCCAAGTGCTGGGATTACAGGCATGAGCCACCATGCCCAGACTGCATATACTTCTGATAGGAATAAAAATGGCATAACTTTTCTGAAAATTAATGTGGTAATACATATCAAGGACTATATAATTCATATTCTTGGACCCCAGAATTTTATGACTAGGAATTTATCCTAAAGATATAAAAAGTGATTGTAAATATTTATACACAAAATTGATCATCACAATGTTATTTATTAGAGCAAAATCTGGAAACAAATGTCCAAAAATAGGAGAATCATTTAAAAAGTTAAAATCTAATTGGAGTGTTATGAGCTATTAAATACCCTGTTGATGAGAATGCAGGTGTACAGAATCTCTCCCCTACTTTATCAATAGGTGTATAAATTGGCATAACCTATAGAGAGCACAACCTGGCAATTCATTCCTTCATTTAAGTAATACTTACTGAGCACCTGGTACCATTCTAGGTACTTGGAATATCTGTTACAACTTAAACTACATATATCATTTGACCTAGCAATTCCACTTCTAGGAATTTATCCTTCACATATGTTTCCAAATATAGGAAATAATATATTTTTAGGTTATCCTTTGCAACATGTTTGTAATAGCAAAACCTTGTAAATTAACTAAATGTTCATCAATAGAGGACAACAAAAATACATTATGACACAACCATACAACAGAATACTATTTGGTGTACAAAAAAAATGGGATTCTTTATGTGTTTAGATGAAACAATGTACAAGATACGTTTTTTAAGTAAAATAAGTTAAGGTGCCAAACAGTATGAAATACAATCTGTAGGGGGGTAGAATACACATGTGTATGTTTCACATGGAATATCTCTGGAAAGGTACACAGAAATTGTTAACATTGTCTGTCTCCAGAGAAGAAAACTGGATAGTTGGTGGAAGAGTGAAAAAAAAAGACTTACACATATCTTTATACCTTTTAATTCTGAACTATGTGAATAAATCATATGTTCATAAAAGTAAATAAAATAAACATTTTTGTTATAATATAGAAAGAAGATTTAAATAATATTAAATTATGTTAAAAGTAGATAATGTTACATGAAAAGAATAGGATGAGATTACATGTGTATATGTGTATGGGTCCACAATATGGGTATAAACATACTTACATTCACATACAATTTTATTTTTAAAATATTATGCATATAAAACATATTTTTTAAAAAGGACTAAAAAATGGATGTTAATAGTTAATAGTAGTTATTTTTAATCTTTCTAATCTTTCTACAATAAGTAAATGCCACTTTTATTACAAAAGAAACAAGTTATAAAAACTAAAATGTGCTTAGAAAATACTGCTGACCTAATAAATGACAATTAGAAATTGCCACTGCATCAGGATGATGATACAGTAAAGAACCGAGCAAAACGAGTCACAACCAACCATGTTGGCTCATAAGGGGCCTCTTAACAATAGGGAAGTGCTTCTAAGAAAGATTTTCAAGACTTTCACAAAATCCCAGAGTCATATATTTTTCCATATCTTCTTCATACAACCATAAAGATAAAACAAGATAATAACAGAAAAGAACAAGCAAGTAAACCCTGTAAATCCTAAAATAGTTATTATTTCATACATACCCATGTAGAATTTTGGGTCACATAGTCAAATAAGTGCCATCATGAATAATCAAAAAGTTGGCTCTGCATCATAGTTTGTTTATTCACATGTAATATAGGTCAAAATTCATTAAAATAAACTTAAGAAGACACTCCACATCATGTACTGACTGTACCAGAGTCTCACTGACAGCATCAAGCATTGCTTAAAACCAGGGCTCTGATTGGGACACAGAAATATTTTCATTAGACACCGATTTGTCTTGTAACCCTTTATCTGACCATTTCATTCATTTGCTGAGAGTCAGGCTCATAGCTCTGGGCTTGAAACAAATAGCATAAGTCTAAAGTTTAGAGTTTGCTATATTTGCTTTTCTGCTAATAGGATAAAAAATAATATTTTTTACAGAAAAATAAAGAAAAACTTGCATCGTCTGCCCTACTCAGGACCTTTTTTCAGCCCCTGAGTCTCCTGCTCACATTTGTTTCTATCCCCAGCACCATGGCTTGTAGCCATAAGCACTTAATTGATATTTGTTTAAACAAATTCACCCTGCCACAGTTGGCTAAGAGACAAATCCTCCGAAACTAAAGGTTTGAAGTGAACTAAATATGAATTTTAAATGTGACCATATTTCACTTCAATACAACAAAATTTCAAAAAACTAGAAATTAATAGTCATAAAACTGAAGACTCAGCATTGCATTAGTACAGCGTCCTTTATAATTTTAACGAATTAGTAAAATAAATTTTAGAATACATGTCATTAAATCAATGTATGAGTCATACAAGAAATGTTCAATATAAATCAAACTTGAATGGGACCAACACAAATGCTTCCAAATAAACTCAAATCAATAATAATTCACTGTCTCCCACGTGCAAAAATGAACTATTTTAGGACCTAATAAAATATACAAATCGTAATCCCCACTGAAATGAATTTAGGATTACTAACTAGTAAACAAATATGACTGCTACCTCCTAAGTTACAAGTTACCCATGAAATTAGCAGGGTTTAGAAGTGGTTTAATATTACACAATGATACAATCTAGGACATCTTAAGTTAAATGGCTTTTGAAAATGACTTAATGTTGTATTCGTTTGAAAAGGGCTTTTCATGGAAGAAATGGCTCTGATTGCTGCTTAGATACCACGATAAAGCACGAGATAACGGCATTTCATTAGATCCAAATTAGCTGGATGACTCTGAAGGTTTCTTAGGTGCTTACAAAAGAAGTCAGTCCTTAGAGAAATGCTGACAGCTGTGACATTCTTCCTTCTTCAACTCCTTCATCCCATAAAGTTATCTGCTTCACAGAATCGCATTAAGCTAAGGAGTGAGAGAAATCAAGTCGCTTTCTGGATTTCCCATGGCACAAGTAACAGCTGTAGCCATTAAGCAGCCACCAGGGGACACAGAGCAACGTCCCAAGTAAAGGACTTGGGTTAGAAAGCTACTCCATAAAGAGCATTAGCCAAGGTCAGCAGGAAGACCTCCAAACAAGACCAGTCCAACATTATGGTAGTGGCAAATATCTTTCTGTATCACTGTGCCCCACATTTGAGAACCAATATTAGAACTCATATGTTGACAGAACAAAAGTCTGTGCCCTGTAAGTAGTAATCATGGTCCTCTCATATCAATATTGTTTACCCAAATTGGAATTTGACATACTGGGAAATCTCATCCCGTGTCAGTTATTTTCAGAAGAGCAAGTAATCACAGAAAATATTTACAATTCTTGAGACATAATTTATCAGTTATAGACACTACACAATGATCCTATGTATATGAAAAAATACCCCAATGAGGCCGGGCATGGTGGCTCACGCCTGTAATTGCAACACTTTGGGAGGCTGAAGTGGGTGAATTATTTGAGGTCAGGAGGTTGAGACCAGCCTGGCCAATGTAGTGAAACCCCACCTCTATTAAAAATACAAAAATTAGCCAGGCATGGTGGTGGGTGCCTGTAGTCCCAGCTATTTGGGAGGCTGAGGCAGGAGAATCACTTGAACCCAGGAGGTGGAGGTTGCAGTGAGCCGAGATGGCACTACTGCCCTCCAGCCTGGGCAACAGAGTGAGATTCTGTCTCAAAAACAAACAAACAAACAAAAAAAACCCAATGAAAAGATTTATACCAACCTGATGGCTACAGAATACATAAATTTAGTAAAGTCATATTTTTTCCATGTTGCTACTAGGGTGGTCTAAGAAGGAAATAACTAAATTTAGTCTTCATTCAAATCACACTTAAAATAAATAAAGGTAAGACATGATGCTGGACCAGAATTTTAATTTTTAAAGCCATTTCCAAAAACAAAAAAAACCTTCTTATAGTGAGATATTCCCATCTACATAAGAACAGGATGTTAGAATGATAGTTTTATGTAATTTCTTCAGAGCAAATGGGTATTTTCTCCTCTCTCATTTTCTTCCATTGTAAGTCAAAAGAGAATCATAAATTCAACTCTTCCTCTCTCACAAGTAAATGTAAAAATGTCTGGATTTCTTTACTTCCAAGAGAATCTCATGTTCGGTGAAACCTGAATCAGTAAATAACATTACATATATATGGGTATGCTGTGTGTGTGTGGATCTCTGTGTGTGTATATATATACACACACACATACATGTCAAATGAAAAACACCAATATTTCTCTTAAGACATCTATTAATATTTAATAGATATGCTAAGGAACAATAAGCTTTTCTAAATAAAAATTAAGTTATGACAAATTAAGCATTATTTGAATAGCAACAGCCCTGGGAACCAAAGATGATCCACAAAAGTTATGGAAACCAAACTGAACATCAACAGCTCAAATGTGCCCAGGCATAGTAGGTACCACTGTAGTTACCACCATAAGCTGACGTAGAACTAAAGTAGATGCTTCAGTTCAGCTGTCATATTAAAAACACACTCATTATAACCACATCCTCAGGACCCATGCTGCTCAACTGTACAGCTTTTATAACGCATGTATGCAGGAATGAAACACAAGTCCTTTGCTGACCAAGTTATCTTCTGCTACAGTGAATCCTTCAGATTATAGCTATAAATAGCTTTACCAAAGGACTCTGAAATTTAAGGTAAGTACAAATTAAATTTTTCTCCCTGCTTTTCATGTATCCCATAAATGACAGTACCTCTGTTTTCAATGACAGTCCACTGTTAAAGAATATTGTTGCAACAGCAATGTAGGATACAGTTATTTCTGGCTTCAGTGGTCCTAAAAAGAGAAAAATGAGTTATTGTTAGAAAAGAATTTCAATAGATAACTTGGCACAAAAGAAGAATCTATTTGTTCACGCCTGTAATCCCAACACTTTAGGAGGCCGAGGCAAGTAGATCACTTGAGGCCAGGAGTTCAAGACCAGCCTGGCCAACATGGCAAAACCCAGTCTCTGCTAAAAATACAAAAATTAGCCTGACATGGTGATGCATGCCTGTAATCCCAGCTCCTTGGGAGGCTGAGTGGGAGGATTACCTGAGCCCAGGAGGCAGAGGTTGCAGTGAGACGAGATCACACCATTGCACTACAGCCTGGGCAACAAAGCAAGACTCTGTCTCAAAATAATAATAATAATAATAATAATAATCTACTGAAGGACAACAAATGGTAGTTTAGATATCAGTGTCACCCCTAGTGTCCTACTGTCCCAACAGAGGTAAGCATTTGTGTGATACAGCCTAACTCCAGAGAACATTTTCCAGAGGGCAAGGACCATGGCTGTCTTGCTCAGCACAGTATCTTCAGACCAGAAGAATAAAGCAGCACACAGGAGAGCACATAAGCAACATCCCTCAATACAGGTCCTAATTATATCTATCGTGGTATCAGCGCTTATATAACAATCAAAATACCCACGAACCCAAAGAAGAGTATCAATGGAAGAGGTTCCCTTCTCTTTAGCAAATATTATTTCATTTCTTCTAGGATACCAGAAACAAAAGCTTGTAATCACACATGTATTCAGTTCTGCCCAAGAGTATTCATTCTACAAATACTTATTAAGAACTTGCCATGTGAATGAGATAATGCATATAAAGTACTCAATAATATATTGCTATGACTGTAATTATTATTAAATTATGCTAGGCCCTAGAGATATGTGGTGACCCAGCCAGGCTTGAACCCTGCCTTCCAGGAAATCCTCTCTGGAGTTAGGATGGCAGCATTCAAATGTGTTAACACTGTGAGAACAATAGTTAAAAGTATCATTTGTGAGTTGATATAAGTATCATTTGTGACATGTCCACAATTGGCTTGAAGACCTAATGTGCTAACAAAGAACAACATTCTTTCAAAAAATGCAGTCCTGAGAAAATGACATTTTATACCTGTATACCAGTGGTTCTCCAGCAGTGGCAATCTTGCCCTCCATGGACATTTGGCAATGTTTAGAAATGTTTTTTGGTTGTCATAACTTGGGGGATAGGATGTGCTACTAACGTCTAGTGGGTAGAGATCAAGAATTCTATTAAACATCTTGGAAGGCATAGAACAGCCCCTCAAACAACAAAAATTATCATGTTCAAAATGTCAATGTGCCAAAGCTGAGAAATCTTAGTATATTGGCAACATTTAAAAAAATCTAAGATCATCTCATATATGCCATTCTATTCAGTCCTCTTGTACTAGATTGAATAGTGTCCCCTACTCCCAAAATTCATGCCCACCCAGAACCTGTGAATGTGACATTTTTGGAAATAGGGTCTTTGCAGATGTAATCAAGTTAAGATGAGGTCTTATTGGATTAGGAGGATCATTAATCCAATAACCGGTGTTCTTAAAAGATGGAAATTTGGACACAGACACATGCACAGGGAAGACAGCTATGTGGTGACAGAGCTGGAGAGTGGAGTTATATTGCCACAATCCAAGGAATGGCTGGCAACCACCACAAGCTGGAAGATGCAAAGGATTCTTTCCCAGATGTCCTTTGGAGAACATCTTGACCTCAGACTTCTGGCCTCTAGAACTGTGAGAGAATAAATTTCTGTTGTATTGAGCCACCTGGTTCATGGTAATTAGTTGTGGCAGCCCTAAGAAACTAATACACTCACTTCGGCAAAAGAACAGGACAACAATCATCGCTCCTCCATAGCCTGAAACTCTCTACTTGCTCGATATATGGACAGAAGACCAAGCTCAGGAAAAAACAACACATATATATAATATAATATAAATATTATATAACATAATATATAATAATAAAGTCTTCATATATATAACATATAATATATTATGTATATAACATATTTTATATATTATGTTATATATATTAGATATATAATGTTATATACATAATATATAATATACATAATATTTCAAGGCCCCTCTGAGAAAGATACATAATATATTATACATAATATATAATAATATATTATACATAATATATATCATAATATATAATATTATTTAACATAATATATAAAATTTTATATATATAGAGAGAGAGGACCTTCTATGTCTTAGGCATTTGTAGTACAATAATATATTATACATAATATATATCATAATATATAATATTATTTAACATAATATATAAAATTTTATATATATAGAGAGAGAGGACCTACTATGTCTTAGGCATTTGTAGTACAACAATGAATAAAAGAAACAAAGATTTCCTCAAACGCTGTAATAAATTATGTAATATGCCTGGCATTTACACAAATCATTTTGCTGAGATCTGAGAAAAGGGAGGGAAAGGGAGAAGGCAAGTGCAAAAGGCATTACATTTGGGGGCAGTGAAGGCTGTTCCAAAACTTTTACAAAGAGGTACATTATCTTTACACTTGTGAGTGAGTCTATCTCAGCAGCTCACACAAGCAATATTTCTTCAGCAGCTAAGCAGGGTGATTCAGGAGCAGATTTTAAAGTCAAGGAATCTGGCTTGCTTGAGAAGTAGAAGTTTCCCAGAAATTTTAAATACCTGGTCTCCAATAGTTCCTCTTCCCTAAGCTAGCTACCTTAACCTAGAGAGAATCACCTGGCATCAAGCTTCAGTATCTTCAACTGTAAAAGAAGCATGTTGGCTTAAAACACTTTAAATGTTACCCTCTCACTCTTAACATTCTATTGTAATTAAACAAAGGAATGAATTATCCTACATTAAAGACATAAGGACTAGTGAAAATGGGAAACGGCATTTCTATGATACAATAATGTACCAAAATGTTAATAAGCAGTCTATGGAACACATAAGTTTGCAGAATCTATCTCATACATGCCACTGCAGAAAAGCCCCACGGAAATGATTCAGCATTCAACACCTTTCTTCCCACAGAATATTTGGGAATGTAAGGTAAAAGATATTTTGCCAAATTTAGCCCCTGCAGATTTAAAGTTAAAGATCATACATCCTCTGTAGTTTCATCTCAAAACTGAGCAAATAAGAGATCTAACACCAGAAGCGATACCTAGTGAAGTGTGCATTGCAGATCATGCAAAGGTACTCTAAGACTTACTATTCATTTAGCTCTGGGGATAGGGGGGGTCTTCATTTGACAGACCTGATCTTCACAAGAGTTTCCCAAAAGTTCACAGAGCAGCGGTGTTAAAGAAGAAACTATTACCATCAATCAGAGGGAGAAACCACCAGGAATAACTGCTTTATTCTCATAGTTACATATTCTACACATTTTGTTCTTAGTTGAATACAAAAGAACAAAATTTTAAAACAAACAAAAAAGCCTTCATCTCCACAATTTTGGTTTAAATAATTGCTTTTAAAATGTTCCCGGAAGCTACTTCTAAACAGAGTAATTGGGTGGAGGTTAAGGGGAGAAGGGACCACTACTGTTCTCCTCCTGAGAGATCATTTCATTCACTTCCATCATATTTTAACAAAAAGATACAAATAACTTTAAATATCCTCCTGAGCGCTTCCTACTATGAAAGATTGTGCTTGTTCACCTCGGTCCTTATTTGCTCCGGTTGCATGAGTTAGGTATTAAACCTGTCAATAAGCTTGGAAACTGACAAACAAGGTCAAAAAGACAAGCGAATTGAATAAATTCAATTAATGTTTATGAAAAGTAGGACAAGATTGTCTAAAGGTATAGGGGGGTGGGGCATAAAAAAACCTAATATTTCTAATGTTCCCACCGGTGCCCATCACCTCCAGTACAAAACTCCCACTATTCAGAGATCTAAGTATGCTTTCAGTCCATCTACATTTCCTTGCCAAAGCACACACTACATTACACATAGTCTAACAGTCTGTATCTGTTAGACTGCTAGTATAGCAACTGAATCCCGGCAGCACACGGAAGTAGTGCCCTGTAATGAAAGAGTGCAACGTGTCAGTCGGCTTGGGAGTTTCTGGAGTGCCAGCAACTACAGCAAATCATCACTCTTCAACATGTGGGCCATAAAATCTGAGTTGGGGGCGGTGGTGTCCCTTTTTCTTGTTTTTCCTCCACTTTTTTTTTTAATGTGGGGGCGGGGAGGACTCGAAAGTAGATTCGATAATGACGTCCACTCCAAGATAGATACTGAACTCAGCAACCTAGATTCTCTTGGGATAGGATGCTACTTTGAAGGCAAGAGGAGTAAGTTTCATTCTCTGTAACCTCACTTCTTAACACTGAGGATGGTCATTGTTTGTCTACGGAAAAGGCTACCTGCGCTCAAATTCCTTTGCCCCGTTCCTAATTACAAGTTCCCTCTGGGATTGGTAAATTAGAAAATCAGCAAAAGGGCCAAAGGCTGGTCAATGCCCCTGAAATTGGCAAGCGTTTGCAGTGAGGGTTGCCCCACCTTTCCAAGACTAACAAATTAGTTCTGAAGTGGGAGCCGCGGTGGAGCCGGCAGAGGTGCAGCACTTACCCCCATTCACCCCTATGGACGGCTCCAGTTTAGCTCCGGCGATCGCCAGCACTATTCCGACCATAAACCAGTCTTTCCTCATTCTCTCCAGCAGCCTCATATTTGTTAGGGTGGGTGGGTTTTGTTTATTTGTTTGGCTTTTTTTCTTTTCAAGCTCCGATCACCTAATCCCTGGAGCGTCTCCACACTTTCCTTGGTCCCTCCAGACATGCAGCAGAGCAAGTCAAATTGCCAGTTGTAAACTAAAGACCTGGGGGTTGCTCCGGCGGCTTTGAGGAAGGTTGGGAGTAGTAGTATCCAGTGACAGGAAAGTCTCACTGAGCGCCGCCATCACTACCACGCGCCTTCGAATACATGCGCACAAACGCCCCCCCGCGCCTCCGGCCGCAGGCTCGCAGGTGCAGATGCTTTGAAAGGAAGAACTTGGACCAGGCCGACAAATGTGGGCAATCGGGCAAGGGAAACTGGCGGCCGGATGGGGCTAACAAACCCACCGCTGCCGAGACCTGCGGAACTTTCTAAATGACAAGGGGTCGGGGAGAGCGTCGTAAGGCGCCACAGCCAGCAAGACTTCACTGATTGTCCTTCTCTAACAAACCTTTAGGTACAGCCACCCACGTTTCTGGAGCATATCTCCATGGAGAGCCTCTCTTTTGCTGTGCCATGACTCCGCGGGCAGGGCTGACTGGGGGGCAAGGGATTTCTCCGTTGAAGCTGCGACAGCGGGATGCAAGCCTGGAGACGCGCTTCTTCGAGACATTACGGCGCTTCCACGACGCCAGCGCTGACGTGTGCGCGGGCGGGAGGGGAGGCCACTGGATCAGCGAGTTCCCAGCCTCAGCTGCAGGAGTTAGAGGTGTCCGCGCGGGAAAGTGGCTCGCTGGTGGGCGGGGAGCCTTACTCCTGGCGGTGGGTTGAAAATCCAGCGCCGGGCAGACGCCCACGTTTGCTGAACCCCGGCTTGCCGGTGTTGGCTGCAACCCAAGGAAGGTGGGCCGGACCTCGCCAGGTTGCTCGCCTGCGGGTGGGCATTTGGCCCGGATCCCCTTCCCTCCGTGGCCCACACCTGTCTCCGGGACTGGGGAGGACTGCAGGGATCGGGGCAGATTTGCCTTTGCGGGCGAGAGTGAGAGCTCAAGTCTTCCCACCAACCAAGCTACTCGCGGGCGGAGTGGGGTCTGCGCTGGCAAGCCCCTGGGCGTGCGGGTGCCCACTCTGGCTCGACCCCAGGGCTGACCTACCCAAGCCACAGGAAAACTCTGGGAAGAGGGTCGGGGATTCCAAAGCCGAGGTGGTGGGGGATTGAGTCTGAGAGGTTGGGGAGTCCTACCTTCCCTTGCCACGAGTGCTAGTTCTGTCTTCCAGTTTCTTCCTTGAAATGTCTTGTAGCAACCAGTGACATTGATGGTTTCATGAATGGACTTCCTACCGGTAGACCCTGCAAGAGCATGAACTCCTCTGTATCATTCATCCAGATGAAGAAAGAAAGAAAAAAGTATGTGACGTTTTCAAATAACCTGGCACCTGCCACTTTAATGGTTAAAAATAGAACTTAAGGTTTGGAAGAGATTGTTTCGTGATGCCAGACTTTAATTCTGAATTTATTCAAAGCTGGAAAGACACTCGTCGTGTCATTTCCTCTATTTAATTCAGCTTTGTCTTGATGGCACGACTTCCAGAAACTAAGCCACTTGAAGAGTTGTGCTCCCAGTTGTAGGTTACACAGTACCAAGTGTCATCTAATTATACGTCAGGCAACATGAAAAAAAATTAATTTCAAGATAAAAAGAACTTAACGGGGAGACATAGATGACATTAAACAGTTTACTCTGAAAAGAGACAGGTACATGAAATATGATAAAATTTGATGTTAATTGTCAGGCAGGCAGAAGATAAGTGAAGATAAATGAAAGATAGTTTACAACATAATTATTTTCTTATAGTAATTTCTTAGTAGGTTAAAGAGTCATATGTCTCAGTCATTGAAGGCATAGCTTCATATTAAAACATCATTAAACATTAAGTTTACAGAAATTGAGCTGTTTTAACTTTACAGCTGTTCACAAAATATTTACTAAGACCTCTTTGATCTGTTTAGAGCAGAATCTAACTCAGAGATTTTTTTGTTTTGATTTTAATGGTACTTAAAGGAAAAGAATATAAGGTACTGTGAATTATATTCTCTTAAGGCCTGTGTTTGTTTGCTGTGAATGCTGAAACAAATACTCGAACTTGGATGCCTTCAAACAACAGAAATTTATTATCTCACTAGTTGTGGAGGACAGAAGTCCAAAATCAAGATTTTGGCAGAGCCATACTCCCTCTGAAGGCTCTGGAGGAGAGTCCTTCCTTGCCTTTTCTAGTTTCTGGTGGTGCCTTCCTTGGCTGGTAGCTACAGTGCTCCAATCTCTGCCACTGCTTTCACATCACATTCTCCTCTGTATTTTTTTTCTAGTGGCCACGTTCTTCTAGTCTCTGCATCCATCTTCACATTGCACCTCCTCTTCTGTGTACCTTTTATAAAGACACTTGTCATTGGATTTAGAGCCTACCCAGATAATCCAAAATGATCTCTCAAGATCCTTAACTCAATCACAGTAGTCCCCCCTTATTCTGGAAGGATATGTTCCAAGAACCTTAGGTAGATACCTGAAACTGCTGGTTGTACTGAACCCTATCTATATATGCTATGGTATTTTTTCCTATACATACATCCCTATGATAATTTTTGGTTTATATATTAGGCACAGTAGGAGATGAACAAATAATTAATACAGTCAGGCATCGCTTAACCACTGGGTTGCATTCTGAGAAATGCATGGTTAGACGATTTCATCATTATAGAAACATCATAGAGTGTACTTAGACAAACCTACACAGTATAGTGTACAACACACCTAGACTATATGGTATAGCCTGTTGCTCCTAGGCTGCAAACCTATACAGCATATTACTATACTGAATACTGTAGGCAGTTGCAACACAGTGGTATTTGTGTATCTAAACATATCTAAACACAGAAAAAGTATAGTAAAATTACAGTATAAGAGGTTTTTTTTTAATGGAGTCAGACGTGGTGGTGTGTGCCTCTAGTCCCAGCTACTTCGAGAGGGTGAGATGGGAGACTCACTTGAATCCAGGAGTTTGAGGCCAGTCTGAGTAACATAACAAGATTCCATTTCTTTAGAAAAAAACATGGTATACCTGTATAGAGCACTTACTATGAATGGAGCCTGTAGGACTGGAAGTTGCTCTAGGTGGGTCAGTGAATGAGTGGTGAATGAATGTTAAGGCCTAGGATGTTACACTATTGTAGACTTTATAACTACTATACTTGGGCTACATTTAATTTAACAGTAGTTTTTAAATTCAGTAATAAATCTTAACTTACTATAACTTTTAACTTTATAAACTTCTTAATTTTTTAACTTTTTGACTTTTGTTACAGCACTTAGCTTAAAACACATTGTATAACTGTCCAAAATATTTTCTTTATATTCTTATTCTATAACCTTTTTCTATTTACATTTTTGTTTTTACTTTTCTAAACTTTTTTAGAAAAACTAAGACACACGTTTTGGCCTAGGCCTGCACATGGTCAGGACCATCAGTATCACTGTCTTCTACCTCCACATCTTGTCCCTGTAGAAGGTCTTTAGGAGCAGTAACCTCTATAGAGCTGTCATCTTATATGATAACAATGCCTTCTTCCAGGGTACCTCCTGAAGGACCTGCCTCAGTCTCTTTGGGAGATATTGCTCTTTTCAGAAATATGTCTATGGTGTTTTGCTTGATTTATTTTTTTCATCGTAGATTTGCATAAATAATGTGTTGCATTATGACATTACAAATGACGACATTTTCACTAGATAATAGGAATTTTTTAGCTTCATTATAGTCCTTTTTTTTTTTTTTTTTTAAGAAAACGGGTCTCACTCTGTTGCACAAGCGTGAGTGCAGTGGTGTGATCATAGTTCACTGCAGCCTTGAGCTCCTGGGCTCAAGCGATCCCGCGTCAGCTTCCCAAGTAGCTGGGACCACGGGCACACACCACCACACCTAGCAGCTTCATTATAGTCTTATGGGAGCACTGTCTTGACCAGAACATCGTATGTAGCACATGACTAATAAAATAGAACAATTAAGTTTAAAAAAATAGGGAGATTACTTGAACACAAGCAGTGTGACACCACAGCAGTATCTGGTAACCAAGATGGCTACTAAGTGACTAAGGGCAGGTAGTGTCTACAGCATGGATATGCTAGACAAAGGATGAATTTATGTCCTGGACAGTGCAAGATTTTATCACACTACTCAGAACAGCTTACAACCTAAAACTCATGAATTGTTTATTTCTGGAATTTTCCACTTAGTAATTTTGGATTGTGGTTGATGCAGGTAACTGAATCATGGATCGCGAAACTGAAGATAAGAGGGGACTGTACATTTGTATATATGCTTTTCCAAATTAGGTAACTGTACTCTGTGGAATAGTGTCTCCCAAAGACTCATGTTTTCCTAGAACATCAGAATTGGACCTTAGTTAGCAGTCAGGTCTTTGCAGATATAAATAAGATGAGGTTATGCTGGATTAAGGTGGATCCTAAATCCAGTGACTGGTATCCTTATAGGAATGTCATGTGGGGACACAGGAGAGACACAAAGAAGACAGCCCATGTGAAGATGGAAGCAGAGATTAGAGTGATGTGTCAGCAAGCCAAGGAGCGCCAAGGATTTCCAGCAACCACTAGAAACTAGGAAAGAGGCATGGAATAGCTTTTTTTCTCAGTGCTTCTAGAGCAACAAACCCTGCTGACACCTCAATTTTAGACTTCTGGCCTTCTGAACTGTGAGAAAATAAGTGTTGGTTATCCTAAGCCATTCAGTTTGCAGAACTTTGTTATAGTACCCGGAGAAATGAATACAGCAGCATTCACAGCTTCCAGGATTTTGATATGAATTTGCCTTTGATGTGGCTGCCATTCACCCCATTATAAGACCCATCTCTACCTTCTCTCTCTTCCAATACTCTCTTCATTCACTCTTCTATCTCCTCATTTTTTTCTGTCGTTTTTTTCTTTCCACTGCTTCTCACCTTAGTTTTTTTTCTTTACCTCTGCCATTTCACCAGTCACCATCCCAACCGAAATGGACACATAAAAGTAAAATTCTTCAAAAGACACACAATAAACTTTGCTTACTCAATAAATATTAAATTTGTTTATTGAACACATATTTAATTTTAATGTGCCCTTCACTGTATGCCAGGCATGTGTCAGATGCTGAGCATTCAATGGTGAGCCAAAAAAAAAAAAAAGACACAAAACTTTCCTTCATAGAGCTTATGATCTAGTGCAGGAAAC